TTCCCTCCCGCACCCACTTTCCTGTTACCCACAAACTTCTGCGGATCACTCTCTAACACTACAGTTTAAACCTAACCCTATACCTATTCCGACCCCATTGCCTATGCTCGCATTAGCCCCATCTATCTCCATAGCTGTTTAATAGCTTACCCTAAGTAACTGTCCTCCTCTTTTAGTTTAAAAACCTTCATACCTCTCTCTTTGTCCCTGATGCTTCTATTCTCCTTGATCCCCATCTATAACCTTTTTACTCTTCAGTGTACTACACTAGAAGTGATCTGATATATCTGTGGCCCCTTCATAAATCATGTACATCCTGAAGTCTGCTCAACAGTCTTTTTATTAAACCAATACATAATCCAACAAACTACGGTCATTTGTCGCCCTACATCATATCTTTTGTTATACTTATTTTAGCCTCTTTTTCGTAAAATATTAGTACATATAACTAAACCCCGTTCTAACAAATTCAATCAAAGGGCTCCCATTATCATTTTACACCTGGCTCCCCACACTTACTCTACCACCCCCCCTAAAAGTTTCTCCTACTTTAGCATTCAGGTCCCCTACCAAAACAATTAACTCCTCTCACTTGGTTCAAAGGCTCCCCCTATACATTCTCGTAACATCTCCCAAAAATCTGGCTCTCCCTCTGCATTCCTCTTTCTCCAGGTGCATACACGCTTATTATGACCGCACTTTTCTCTCGCATCCAACCTTTACTTTAAATCTCACATAAATTCTTGAATTTACACATTCATATTCTCTTTTCTCCTCCATAACTGATCATTCAACATGTCTGCTACCCCTTCCTTGCGCTAACTCCTCTCAAATACGCCAGAATTTAATCCCATTTATTTCCCCCCATCCGAAACTCCCCTACCCCCTTCTCTTTGTTTCCGCTTAGGCCATGACATCCAACTTCTTTTCATTCATAACATGAGCAATCATCTGTTTTCTTGTCATCCGCACCTCATCCAGCACATTTAGAGCATCCCAGTTTATAAAAAGTTTTACTTTCTTCTCTCTTTTTTTAGTTAAATGTCTACAGGAGAAGGGGTTTACTAGCCAATTGCTCCCGCATTTTTAGTCGCCTCATACGATCCGCAATGGCTTACGGAGTAAGATTCTTTTCCCTTCCCCATGGACAATAGAAGAAATAAAGATGAACAAGAGCTAATTTAGAAAAAGGAGAAAAAACCTAGATGATGTATATAGATATGCATGTCGTGTCTGTGAAAGTGAGTCCAAAGTGTAAGTAGGAGTATCAGAATCCCTGTTTCTAGTCGTGTCATGAGATAGAAAAAGAAACCAGCAATCCTACCTACAGCAAAACAGTTTCAGGTTCGTTTCACAGTCATCTGCAGGACGTAGTTACTTCCCTGGGTGGTTGCCTGTCTAACAAACCTCTCGTCAATATAGTGTTCTAAAAAAGTAAAAAAAAATAATATGAGGTAGTGAACAGTACTAGGTTATCAAAGATAGTTAAGGGCCTGAACAATGATATAATGAGATTACACAACTGCACAAACAATTGATCACTAAGATATGATAAATTATCTTAGAGTCGGTATTGCCTTATAGCATAAAGTTTGAGCCAGTTAAACCCTTTCAGGTCCAAGCCAAAATCTCTGAAGTGGTGCTTTCCAAGTCCCAAGAAATTTTAAAAAAAAAAAAAAAAATTTATATTCTTACAGAATTAAAGAGCATATTTTGTGAAGGAATAAGACAAAAAAAAAAATCTGATCATACCTTACCGAGATACAGTGCCCAAGAAGTTTGTCAAACATGATGTGGTGGCGGCAACCATCGACGAATTCCACATACGCGCATTGACATTATTTTGTGTTTTAGTTGTTTTTTTTTTCTTTTCTTCCAATGTTTTTTTTCTAATTCCTACTAACATTTGGGGCCTGAGAGAACATATACTGTATTTAATGTATAGATATAAACTCACTGTATTGATCAACTAGTAACCGCTCAAAGTTATTATCATATTATTTTTCCCACTGTTGTTTACTACAATAAACATGCACAAATAATTGTTATATTACTAATGTTCTTATCATATATTTACATATTTACAATCACTGGACATGGTTTTAGAACTGCTGGAGCTTGTGGAACTCCTTGAAACAAGGCACCATGCACAGAGGCACCTTACATTCCTCACACATAAACCGAGTGTCTTTGCGTCTTTGTTGCCGTCGTTTTGTTTGTGCACAGACAATGCATCTCTTCTGAGCAAATTTCTTTTGAGTTGAAGGAAGCTGTATTATGAAATGATCACCTTCTCTCCTCAAACGCTTGGGTATATTGTGATGAATTCGAGGACCATGTTGTATTGCAGGTGTTGTTACCTGGTACTTCATTATGAGTTGTCTGACAACAGACAAACAAAATTCACCATACGGTGGTCTGTTACCAGTCTTTATTTGGTACATATTATATGCATTCAGCATTGAAATGTCCATGAGATGGAAGAAAAGTTTCATGTACCACTTGTAACTCTTACGAACACAGTCAACAAAACCAATCTGCATGTCACACTTGTCAACCAAGCGCATGTTTTGTGTATAATCAATCACTGTCACTGGTTTTCGAATACGTTCATTAGTCACTCGATCAACTTTGCCACTGTCTTGCATTTCATTACGGTGAATGGTTGTCAACAATGTGACATCTCGTTTGTCATGCCACCGTAATGCCATGATGTCATTGGCAGTAAACACCTGCACGTCATCACCACGAACACCTGCGTTGAGCCTGGGCATATGTTTACGATTAGAACGCACTGTGCCACACACATCTGTCTTGTTCACTCGCATGAAATCACTGAGTAATGGGCTTGTGTACCAGTTATCGGTATATAATGTATGGCCCTTACCAAGATAAGGTGCCATCATGTTTCTCACTACGTCACCTGATATACCCAATAACATCTTGGTATCTTTCAATGTTTTACTACCCGTGTATACAACAATATCCAACACCAGGCCACTGTCACAATCACAGAGTACAAACAATTTTATACCAAAGCGGTTCCTCTTGCACGGTATATACTGCTTGAATGACAGTCTATACCTTTGAACAAAATCTAAGACTCCGACAATTTACAAGATTCCTTAATGGATAAAAGTATAAATCCTGAACTTTTGTTTAGATACATGAAAACATTTCTAATCTTGTTTATAACCTGTCCACTCTGTTCAGGCCTGGTTTTGTCTGAGAAGTGGTAACATACGTACAGTAAGAATAAACCTGTCAACTGGTATTAATTTCCACTGAAGGATGGGGAAGAAATTAGCCGATCTGTGGACTCAGTAAATGCTTTTATATATATGCTTATAGTACGTGAGGCATAAGCTTTAATTGTTGCAAAAAGCATTACATTTTCTGCAACAGTCGACCTCTTTCCACTGTGAAAGTCTTGACTGGGGTGATAAGAATCGTATTTGCCCATGGTGTACTGAAAATACTTATTTAATTTCCCTGGCCAATAATTTCCATCAATGGCTGTCAAAAGAATAATTCAAAGAATTCCATTCATTGGCCGTGAGTTCCAATGGGACAGTTAGGTTAGAGATTCCACTTTGAGAGGTCATCAAAGTGGTAGGCTTGGGACAAAAATGGATTTTGGCCTGCCAAATCCCACATAACGGTTTGGTGGTGGATACTGGACATCAAGGCTGTTTGTATGGGTGGGTTGTGTTAGTTGCGGCTGGTGGCTGATCTCCCGCTTGTCCTTGAACTGACGAGTTCAGCAGCGATGGGTCCCCTCGTGGCACGGTGATTCACGCATGGCGGGCCTCACCACCATCCACTTATGCTGTGCCCATCCCTGCCAAGTGTAGCCACATCATCCTCACAATCTCAACCTAAAACGGGTGTAGGGGCCACGGGATGTACTCCGGGTGTACTCCGTCCGCCAGGGCACAGCAAGGGTACACTACCCAAGCGCAATGCCGGCTGCGAACATACGACGCTTCACTGGTTGAATATGATTCCACACAATTCACTACACCAAAGATCGTCGAGCGCAATAAAATCCACAATCCACGACAGAATCATCGTCCACTTACTGAAGTCACGCATCTGGCCTGGCCCACGTATTTTTGGGAAAATGAATAATGTATATTTTCTCACTTACGTTTAGAAACACTACCGTGAGTCACGAGTGCCCACACCAGAGTGTAGAAGGTCGAGATCGTCGGGTTTTCTGCAACTATTATCGTATCCTGGTCATTATTTTCGGTCACTAACTTATCAAAGCCATAGAATTCGTCTTCATTTGCACTTCCATCAGTGTCAGAACTATCAGACAGGAAGAGGAGAGCCCCCAATTTTCCGGGGAGTGAGAGCTGACTTGCGACGAGGCATGGTGAACAAGGGTGACTGAGCTGGCGTTCCCACAATGCTATGCAGGCGCCTAGATTTTTTGTTTACGGCGCACACCCATGGCGCAGACCCATTCTCTCACATGTAGGCCTATGAGCGCTTTCGCGCTAAATTTGACAGCGCTAGAATTTTGGCGTAGATCTACGGTTTGGACACTCACCGAAAAGCCGTAGATCTTGGGACGGATCCTGAAAGGGTTAATCTTTAAAAAATGTATTTTTTTTTTAATATTTTTGGGTGTCTGAAACGGATTAATTGGATTTACATTAATTCTTATTGGAAATATTATTTCGGTTTTTGGCCATTTCGGTTTTAGGCTGATCTTCTGGAACGGATTAAGGCTGATAACTGAGGGTCCACTGTACAGTGAAATACCATCACTGTTTACACAAACATTATATAAATTTTCTGTTTCTTTGTTTCAAGTGATTTTCACTTATGTATTGTAGGATGTTTGAAAGGATATCAATAAACCTCACTATATTATGATATGCAGTTTTCCAAATAATATAAAACTCTTAGTATAATACCTCATTAACACTAACTTTTCAAAGACAATATTGTATGCATGTCATGTGAACACTAAATTAATTCTTTTTCAGCTGGCTTTCCTTCCTGTCTTAGAAACCTTTTACTGCTCTCACAACCAGCTGGGCAGCCTCAGTGGTGTACTGGAGTCAACAAGTGTGCCTTACATGGACCTTGGCCACAATGAAATCAGTAGTGTAGGTTAATTTTCTATTTGTAATATAAATCATCACATAAAATGAAGCATAAATAACCAAACCAACTAAAAATGTTTAAACAATTAATATATCTGTATAAAGATGAAAATTAAATAATGTGAAAACTAAAATGAGTCTAATTAAAAAACTGAGCAAACTGACTATCTCCCACAGAGGCAGGGTGACCCAAAAGAAGAAACACTTTCACCATCATTTACTCTATCACTGTCTTGCCAGAGGCATGCCAATACTATAGTACAGATGCCCCTCCAAAACTGCAAATACCCTCACACTTCCAAAGTGCAGGCACTGCACTTCCTATGTCCAGCACCCAAGTCCGGCTAACTGGCTTTCCTAAACCCCTTCACAAAATGTTACCTTGCTCACACCCAAACAGCTCATCAAGTCCCAAAACCATTTGCCTTCCCTCACTCCCTTCTAACATACATATGCCCACTGGATACCCAAGCCCCTCGCACACAAAACCTCCTTTACCTTCCCTCCCTTCAATCTTTCTTAGGGTGACCCCTATCCTGCCTTCCCTCCACTACAGATTAATACATCCTGCAAGTCATCCTATTTTGCTCCATTCTCTCTAAATGCTCAAAGCACCTCAACAACCCCTCCTCAGTTCTTTGGATAACACCTCCTAATCTCCAAGCTACCAATTCTCTACATAATATTTACACCACACACTTCCTTCATACATGACATCTCCACTGTTTCCAGTTTCCTTGCTGCAACATTCACAACCCATGCATCACACCCATGTACAAATGTTGATCCAGGTCCACATTCCTTTATCCGAAATTCTGAAATTCGAAAAGTTCCAAAAACCGAAGTTTTTTCAAGGAGTGTGGAGCATCAGTCATGCCTACATAACTCCAACGCATCAGGTGTCAGTTGTGTTTCAGCGCTTGTAGTGTTCACACGTGCATCTGCTGTTCGCTGATATTTTGTTTTTGCTTTTCATTTTGTGACTGAGTTTAATTTCACTGTGAAAATGTCAAAAAGAGCTGCAGATACCCCTATGGGTAACACTGAGAATAAGAAAAGGAAGCATCTGAGGTTATGAATAACGAAGAAAGTAGAGTTACTGCAAAAGCTTGATCGTGGTGTGTCAGTACGGAGTCTTACTGAAGAATATGGTGTTGGAACTACCACTGCTCCACACATCCCCCTGCCAAACTTCTTGTGAAAAGTAATGTTTTCGGCATCTACTTGCCCCCTAATGTGACATCTGTATTACAGCCTTGTAATCAAGGAACTTTATGCTCCATGAAGAGCAAGTATAATGACTTTTTTTTTTAAAACTGTACGCTTGCTGCAGTCAACAGAGTAGTAGGAATCCAAGAGTTTCTGAAAGAGTTCAGTGTGAAAAAGTCCCCATAGACAAGATGGTGAAAATGTGTGATCAGTTAATTGCTGGCCTTGAACAACCTGCATTTATCAGTGAGCAAGACATTATGGCAATTTACTCAGTTAGAGAGAGATTGCTTAGACAGAAACCAGATGACACCTGAAGAAGTCTTTAAAAATGCAGTCTGTCAATCATCTTGACAATCATGTTCCTTGTCTATAATTATCCCATTATTTCATTTATCAATATATTACTCTATAAATAAAGCGTAGTAGTGTAGTAGTATTTGTAGTCTTTATTTATTCTATTTAGTGCGAGTATTCATGTATTTTTGCTGCAATGTTAATGTTTGATTATGGGGTGCTGCCCTAGACCTCACCTTCATTCTGAAATTCTAAAAATTCTGAAATTTGAAACACTACTGGCCCCAACAGTTTCGGATAAAGGAATGTGGAACTGTACCACCATGCTCTTATACATTCACTTTGCCTTCATTGATAACATTCTTTGTCTTTATGTACTACGAATTTATAGTACTGTATTTAAACAAGCCAGTAATGAATGTCAAGTGCATTGCTTCCAAAAATTTAAATTTTTATTCTTAAAAAAAAAAAAAAATGAATAACCAAATTTCCTAATGTTATTACAGATATCTGCCAATTACTTTTCTGGTGCCCAAAATCTGAGTCAGCTGCTGATGCCGTTCAACAAGCTGACAACAGAATCACTTGGGCCAGAGAGTTTAACATTCTCTGGTAACGAAGAAGACATGTATCTGGACCTGGCTTGGAACCAACTATCTGAGGGCGTGCATCCTTCTGCTTTTGGAGGTGAACCAATGATTACCTATTTATTATTACAGGTGCTCCTCAATTTACAATAGTTCAACTTCGTACAATATTTTGACTTGGCGACAGTGCAAAAGCAATTACTTTTTAGATGAAACCTTAGATAATTACCCTGCATGAAGGCAGCAAGTCTGTAACTTGTACTTATTTACTTTTCAATACTGGTATTTAGTTACTCACAGTAATTATATGTTTATTTACTTATTCAGTGACAGTAGTTAATTATTTAGCATATTATATTCACATTCAACAATTACGATATTTTCGACTTACAATGCGTTTGTCAGAATGTAATCCCATCGTAAGTCTCCCATAAGAACAGTATCATCAGCAAAAAGTAACTGTGTCAACTCCCATTTTGTATTTGATCCCCCATAATTTAATCCTACCCTTCTCCCCAACACCCTAGCATTTATAAATAATTAAAAGGCACAATACTGTGACTGGAACAATACACAAATAACCCACACATAGAAGAGAGGGGGAAGCTTGCTCATAACTCGGATATTGGCTCATAATTCAGAGCAAAAAATCGACCGACTGACGGTTCATATCTCGAAAGACTCCTAAGTTGGGATACTTGTAAGCTGAGGTTCCACTGTATTTGGGAGTTGACACATCAGCGGATGGGTTTATGAAGGATGAGGTAAACCATAAAATTGATGAAGGAAAAAAGGTGAGTGGTGCACTGAGGTATCTGGAGACAAAGAATGTTATCCAAAGAGGCAAAGAGAATGTATGAGAGTATAGTGGTAACAACATTCTTATATGGGTGTGAAACATGGGTTGTAAATGCTACAGCAAGGAGGCAGCTAGAGGCAATGGAGATGTCGTGTCTGAGGGCAATGTGTGGTGTAAATATTATGCAGAAAATTTGTAGTGTGGAAATTAGGAGGAGGTGTGGAGTTACTGAAAGTATTAGTCAGAGGGTTGAAGAGGGGTTGCTGAGATGGTTTGGTCATTTAGAGAGTATGGATCGAAGTAGAATGACTTGGAGAGCGAATAAATCTATTGGGGAAGGAAGGAGGGGTAGGGGTTGTCCCCGAAAAGGTTGGAAGGAGGTGGTAAAGGAGGTTTTGTGGGCGAGGGGCTAGGACTTCCAGCAAGTGTGCATGAGCATGTTAGATAGGAGTGAATGGAGACGAAAAGTTTTCGGGACCTGACAAGCTGTTGGAGTGTGAGCAGGGTAATATTTTTTGAAGAGACTCAGGGAAACCAGTTAGCTGAACTTGAGTCCTGGAAATGATGACGATGAAAGTTTTTTCTTTCTCTGTGGGTCACTCTGCCTTGGTGGGAAGCCGCCGACATGTTAAAAAAAAAAAGTATGTAAATGAAAAATTACTTATATATAGAGTTTGCTACCACCCACAGTTCCAAGTATCCACAGTAGGTTTTCGAACAGATCCCCCACTGATACGGAGGAACTACTGTAATACTAAAAATGCAACATACACACACTAGCAATCCTGCACCCTGGATAGCATTACTTAATCCTTTGAGTATTCAGAGGCCAAATCTCAAGAGTGACAGCCAGAGTCCAAGAATTTAACCCGTAAATGGTCCAAACGTATATATATACGTTTTTACAGCTAGTGCCCCAAACGTATATATATACGTTTTTACAGCTAGTGCCCCAAACGTATATATACGTTTTATTTTTCCTGCCTTCAAATTTGACACAATTGGCCTGAGATGCCTTGTCAGCATAGAATGGGTCCTAACACTCAGTGTGCGTGGTATTAAAAAAATCTGGGACCACTTAGTGCCTTGTGGGAGCACCAATTCAAATGAGCGCCAGCTAGAGCAAACAGCACAGCAAACACCTGGGATTCACTGATGTCATGTAGTATTAACACTCCCATTTTAAGAGGAAAGTGATTTTGACCCTGAGTTTAGTAGCCTTGAGGTGGATGTGGCCACAAGTGGTCGAGGAAATATCAAAAAACCTCGATAATAACCCATGTGCAATACCCTTTCAGAATGTCTTATAACCTATGCCCTAAGTAAAGAGAAACAATTCTGGCTGGCTGGCCAGCTGGCTGGTTGGCAGGCTGGCTGCCTGGCTGCCTGGCTGGATGACTGACTGACTGACTGACTGGCTGGCTGGCTGGCTGGCTGGCTGGCTGGCTGGCAGGCTGGCTGGCTGGCTAGCTGGCTGGCTAACTGGCTGGCTAGCTGTGTGGCTGGCCGGCTGCTGGCAGCCTGGCTCTATCTCCGTTTGTTTGTCTGTATCTATGTCTATCTCTGTCTCTCTGTCTCTATCTCTGTCTGTCTTTGTCTATCTTTGTCTCTGTCTATCCCTGTCTATTTCTATCTGTCTATCTCTTTCTATATGTCTGTCAATCTCTGTCTCACAGGTAAACATAAATACAAGTATACATAGTGTAAATTACCTAGGATAACCCAAAAAATCCAGACAAAGTGCTATACTCTGCTTGAAGATGTGAGTAAACGTGATGGCGCAGTCTTGTGGCTCTCTCTGAGACAGTGAGGTAGACGGATAGACAGACAGACAAGGAGCTTGACAGACAGACATGTTTGTGTACTAGCGAAAACAAAGGAGGGCAATGCTCATCAAACGTCACTTCTAATCTTTTCTTATCTGCTGCACCCTCCCCCATCCTTGTGTATGCTCATCAAACGTCAGCTCTTATCAGATGTTATCTCATCTTATCATGTCACTGTCAGGGGTGGACTTTGCTTTTCATGCTTCAAGGGAACTTATTAATTTATTATTACATATTTTTCTTCTCCTCCTTCTCCTTCTCCTCCTTCTTCTCCTTCTCCTCCTCATTATTATTATATACTTCCACATATCCAAAACATTGCTGGGACATATAAATACTTTGTATATATTCCAAGACAATAGTAAATGGCCAAGGCAGGTGTTAATGTCCACCTGTCAGTATGTTTGTGACAATGTGAGTACAATTTCAGTACCTAATAATAGTGTCAGAACAAAGATTGGTTATGAAATAACAAGAACTACTATAAATTGTAATTATCAGAACATGAAAAATATATAAAATAACATGAAAAATAGAAAAAAAGGTATATCGGCAACACTTTTGCAAGCGGCAGCACCCCATGTTGCCATCAGGTGATCCCCAAGTGCCAACTTTGCGGCCTCATATCTCAGTAAGTACTAACTCTAATTTCTTTCTTTTATCCTATAGCACTTAGAAAAATGTGCTCTCTTTTTCAATAAAAAAAAAAAAAATGATTTTTTTTATTTTTCAAAATATTCGGGGCACTTGGGTAGTGAATGTACATATACGTTTCGACCGTTTACGGGTTAAAAAAAAAAAAAATATTTTTTCTTATGAAATGGTGGAGAATATTTTTCTGAAGGTAATAAAATAAAAAGTACAAAATCTGATGAAAAATTGAAGAAATTATGCTCTCGCGAATTTTGCTGCATTAGCGATATTTACTCATCAGCGAATTTGCAGACTTTGACTCCCATTTTAGGTCAATTACATTATTCCAGTCGGCCAAATTCTTAGCTATTTGCTAGTATTACTTCTATTTTATCGATTGGGCACAAGAAATTGCCCTGGCAGCTGTTTCAACTACCCAATAAAGTGATCAGAAATTGGTAATTTGGCCAATTTAACACAGTTCAAAATATTCCAATTTCAAAATAGGGTCCAGAATAAACAATGCAGGCATTCCTGGCACTAAACTAACATTTCCTCTGTTTATTAATTACATTTTCAGGCTTTACAAATGAATTACATTTTGATTTTTTATTCATATAATGAATTTTTATTCACACCAAAAAATAGAAGATTTACTGTTATGCAATATTGTAATAATTGTATAAATAATATCAGCACATTCGTGAACATATATTAGACCCACCAGCTGACGTGTATTAGACATGTGACGTCATTTGTTTACTCTTGAACATTGGCAAAAAATGAACATTTCTGCTATTTTGAGCTCAGTTTCAAGCTATTTTCAGCATTAAAACCAATCAAAATCATCTCTATTTCTGTAATATCTGGAGTATCTGAGAGAGTTAGAGCAAAGGAAGGGGTAGCAGTAATGTTGAATGATCAGTTATGGAAGGAGAAAAGAGAATATGAATGTGTAAATTCAAGAATTATGTGGATTAAAGTAAAGGTTGGATGCGAGAAGTGGGTCATAATAAGCGTGTATGCACCTGGAGAAGAGAGGAATGCAGAGGAGAGAGAGAGAGATTTTGGGAGATGTTAAGTGAATATATAGGAGCCTTTGAACCAAGTGAGAGAGTAACTGTGGTAGGGGACCTGAATGCTAAAGTAGGAGAAACTTTTAGAGAGGGTGTGGTAGGTAAGTTTGGAGTGCCAGGTGTAAATGATAATGGGAGCCCTTTGATTGAACTTTGTATAGAAAGGGGTTTAGTTATAGGTAATACATATTTTAAGAAAAAGAGGATAAATAAGTATACAAGATATGATGTAGGGCGAAATGACAGTAGTTGTTGGATTATGTATTGGTGGATAAAAGACTGTTGAGTAGACTTCAGGATGTACATGTTTATAGAGGGGCCACAGATATATCAGATCACTTTCTAGTTGTAGCTACACTGAGAGTAAAAGGTAGATGGGATACAAGGAGAATAGAAGCATCAGGGAAGAGAGAGGTGAAGGTTTATAAATTAAAAGAGGAGGCAGTTAGGGTAAGATATAAACAGCTATTGGAGGATAGATGGGCTAATGAGAGCATAGGCAATGGGGTCGAAGAGGTATGGGGTAGGTTTAAAAATGTAGTGTTAAAGTGTTCAGCAGAAGTTTGTGGTTACAGGAGGGTGGGTGCGGGAGAGAAGAGGAGCGATTGGTGGAATGATGATGTAAAGAGAGTAGTAAGGGAGAAAAAGTTAGCATATGAGAAGTTTTTTACAAAGTAGAAGTGATGCATGGAGGGAAGAGTATATGGAGAAAAAGAGAGAGGTTAAGAGAGTGGTGAAGCAATGTAAAAAGAGAGCAAATGAAACA